CGTGCGGGGACGTTCGGGGGATTTTCTGCTGGGATTCTTTAATTGGTTGGTTAACCTGTTGCGTCGGTATGTAAGGATTTCTTGGGAAGCTTGGTGCGGGGGTTGGCGTTCGGAAAATGTACCGAGCCAACATTCGGAGTTCTTTGTGATTAGCGTGAAGGTCGGTAAAGGTCGCGTATCGCGATTTGTCTTTGGAGTTTGTTTTGGAAAAACTTTTGTTTCAATTATTCAATTGTATAAATAGAAGAAATAAAGGGGAAAGTTTTATGTAATTATTTGATAAAAGATATTTCATTTGAAAAATTCAGAGAGTCCGATATTGTCACTCATTTCAGATATCTCAGGTGAATTTATTGCTTCTCGAATGATCAATTCTCTAGCGTTCATTAACTGAAGAAAAGTGACAGTTTCATGCAATCGTTACGGCATAAATGCATATACTGGTACTTGAAATTGAAATTGATTCAGTTGGGAGATGAATTTGAATAAGTTATTTCGTTCACAACGGCATTGTAAAGCACCTTCAGGGTGTAAAGAGTTAAACAAAACCGAGTTCTACAATGAGTGATTTTATGATGCACAGAAAAACTGTTCTGTGTTAAACTTTACAACCGTAACAACTGGTTAATGTACGTAGATAGCGATGTTTCTTTTTAAATTATTGATGTCTGGGGATTAGTAAGCGCCTTCCTGTATTAGAACTGTAAATATTTAGAAATTACGATGCAATTTATGTTTCTAGATTAGATATCGCGACAGAATACAAATGATTTAAATTTCAAATGTTAACACTTCGTACAAAGTATTTTCAATCTCCTTAGAACTTGTAACAAAGTTATTTAAATTTATACAAAAACATTCGACAAGTACTAACATTGTTTTTCCACACGACATATTCAAGATATTATGAATGATCACAAAAAAATTGGCAAAACGCGCAAGAAATAAAATGAAATTGAAACCTGTGTCTGCCTCGACATATAATCTGAAAAAGGGTTAAAGTCACTCGCCACAAGTATCAGCATAAAACAAGCATACACACACCTGAACCGATGACATCGTAGAAACTCAGAAAAATCAATCTCCTTCGCCCTTCACACCAAAAAGAACGTTCAACATATCCCCCGTAAATCCCAAATCCTTCCTCCATCCACTTCCTGACCTAGATCACTGCTGCGCAATCCTCCGGATCGGTTCCATTAACCTTCATCGTCCATACGGATTGATTTCCACCGGTCGTCCCCTCGAAATGGCAACGACCTTCCGAGCATTGTTTCTTTTTGCCGATCGTGCGGCTGGTCGCGGTTACGTCCGCATTCTAAGCCCGAGTTACGTGCACAGGTGGCACGCGCCGATTACGTAAAACACGCTCGGTCCCGCATCCATAATGTACGAGCGGCCTCGGCTAAAACACACAGCAGGCTGCCTTCACGGATACGTTCGGCGGTGCACAATCCTATCGGTTCGATCTCGCCGGCTATCATCGGTCTCGCTCGCTCGCTTGCTCGCTCACGCTCAAACTCGCGCTCGCGCGCGTCCACTTGAATAAGGCGCGAGCAACACACGCCGCTCCGTTCAACGGCGCTCGCCGCAGCCGCGGTCTAAACTTGTCCGGCGATGAAAACTTGGCACGAAACATCCCAGTGACCCCATTGTCTGCCTCCGCGGAGCAACACGGCCGTATACTCTCCCTCGAGCCCCCTCCGGTTGCATTAAGCCCGAATTAACAAAGGGTAGATATACTTACCTACGACCCCTGACCTGCGAGCCTCCCGCGCCGTTTTCCCTCTTCGACCTTCTCGATCTACCCCAGACCACCGCCCCTTCCTTTTCACTTCAGCGTTCTCCTCGTCCGCGACTGCAGCCCGTTTTATGACTCCCGGCCTCGCTCCTCTCCACCCGTTTTGCTCCCAGCGCGCACCAAGCCATTTGTTTCTAACTGCGAAACGAACACCAACATCCTCTCGTGCTACCCACTCCCCGGCTCCCTGCGACGAGAGACGGAGCAACAGGTCCTCGAGGATGCAATCACACGTTGGCCCGCGCCATCGCTTCCGGCCACTTTCTATGCCCTGGTAAGGGATATAGAATGTCCCTTGGGCGTTGCTTCCTGTCTCGAAGACGGGGATAGACGGCCGGGAATTAGGTTAGGGGGCCTGCGGATCGATCCCAGCGCAGCGTGCATATTGTTCGACCAGGATAGACCTGAAGAATTGATGAGACTCCGTGGGATTGTACGTGTTCCCGGATTACAAGCACGTATGGACGAGGGTGAGTTTAACCCTTTCGACGGGGAGATTGGAGTTCGAAGCCTCGAACGTGGAATTATGTTGTTAGCCGGGGGTTTCTCGCGTGATGTCCTATACGGAAGTGTAGTCTGGATGATTGCTTGTTGAAGATTGAAGCATCGTTTTCAGTGAAATCTGGTTGTGCATTGGGTATGTTTAGACTTTGTTTTAGTTTAATAATTTGTTTCTACTACTAACACTGCAACACCGAACCGCTGACACTTTACGCCGAGTGTACGCTTTGTGTAAAATAGTAATAAATACCAGTGCAATACTTCCGCGAACAGAATCGTGTGTGTGTGGATTGTGTCCTATTAATTCTTCATCACCTACACTCCACCCCACACCGGAATATGTAATAGGCTTATAAAACAGTGCAATGTGATAACAGCAAACTGGGAACATTATGCAATTCATTGAATGAAAGAATAACGTAAATTCATTTATGCCTTCATCAACCCAATGAAATAATTGAAAGCTAATAAACAGACGTCATTCTTTCATTGCCAGTTCACTAAACCAGTCTATAAAACGAAGAATCCGCTCGAATATCCGCAATCCCGCCACCTGTGAGGGAATGGAGAAAAAGCGAAAGAAATTTCAGAACATCAGGATAGGACAATTATTCGCAATTTCAGCGAAATTCCGAGGATTCTTGGACACGTCGAACTATGCGGGGTCGTAAAATCCGAAAGGCTATACCTAATGGTTTTGAGAGCGTCGGGAAGGCAGCAGAGGGCAGACAGAAATTAATCGTCCGATCGCAATTTACGGCATTCGGCTGGGTCCGCGGAGGGATTTCTTTTTTTTCAACTAGGTCATTGTGTAAAGCCGCATGGAAACTATAAATCTTGCTATGGATGGCGGCGGGGAACTTGACCTTGCTACTTGAACTTGTCCCCTTTCTCCACCGCAGTTTCGACCGCCATATAACTTCGCCAGTCATTCTTCTTCCACGACGGACCGCCGTAACTTGAATCATAAACTCCTGAGAAATAAAGGATTCCCAGAAATTCCTGTCAGGGCTCGCGACGTGCGGCGAGTAAAAAGTTAATGGCCAGTGGCTTTGGCGAATGAAGTATGGAACGGTGAACATTTTTTAAAAACAGGAAATAGGTATGTACAATTTGCAAATATAATTAAAAGGTAAATAAATTTAGTCAAATTATTAATTAATTTACTTTATTTATAATTATTTAATTTTAATTTTTCAAAAAATCATGTATGATGTACAAGGGCATATTATTAGCAGTTTATTTTTTATGTAAAAAATTAATGTAAATTTTTGTTACGTTTTAAAATATTCTACGAGACACAGAAATAAGGAAGTTTTAAAGGAATTATAGATAATAAAATTACTGATACAGTTTCTCTGAAGATTTAACAAAGATTGAAATTTTATTTACGAAGATAGCTGCTGCGTTTCAGACATTTCACCGAGTCTATTCAAAAACATTTCGATTTCTCCATTCAACTTCACAGTGGTTCTCCAAGTATTATCATCGAACAATAATTACATATTTTACCGTCGAAAATATTTTATTTCCCCATTCTCTTCTTCGATTATTGTTACGCGTAATATTCTGTGCTTTGTTTTTACGCGAAATAACGAAAACCGGTACACATTTTACTTTCCCGCAAATATGGGTATTAAAATCCCATTCGCTGAAGCGTATGTGCATATATGCATACACCACCACTCAAAATTTTCGAAACATTTATTCGATAGCTGAGGCGGACTTTTTTAACCACCAAACGTCCGATTATACATTTCACACATTCAACAGTTTATTTTAAATGAATCTTCTATTTGTAACGGATGCATGCCAGATGCATCAAGCCACATTAACTCTTGTTACATTATTTTACTTTCTTTATGAATTCTATTCTTTCTCAGTCAAATCATCTTCGATGATTTTTATTATCAATATCTGCCACATTTTTCAGTACACTTTACTAATCACCATAGCGCGTCGGTGCACAATAAATAAAATTAAACTATTCAGTTACCAATTACAATAAAACATTTAAGTATTAAAATACTAACAACCAATATTTATACTATTCTCAATGACAAAATCAAGACAAGCTTCATTTATATCATATAAAGAGCTCTGCAATAAAATTACCGAGAACGCTCATGCCAATTCATGATTCAAAACACTGATCAACAATAAAGAAGATTAGAAAAGGCATTATTTTACCGCACTACCTAATCTGTATTTGATATCTTCAGTCTAAATTAGCACGGAAGACTAAACTCTGTAGACTGTATAGTAATTCACTGGAGAACCTCTTCGCACCCCATTGAAATCGAGCGGAGAGCGGGTCGTGAAGTATATCGTTCGATTCCCGACGATAAAAGACAACCGTCGATCGTCGGAGAGTGAACCGATCCGTTCGTCTGCGAAATAAGCGAATGGAAGGTTTCGT